TAAATAAATAAATAAATAAATAAATAAATAAATAAATAAATAAATAAATAAATAAATAAATAAATAAATAAATAAATAAATAAATAAATAAATAAATTTTTCCAAACATGGTTCCTGTCCCCTAGATAGATTAAATCGATCTGTACTCAGGATGTTTGGCTCTTTGTGGTGGAGCACTGAAGGTCAAACAACTTTAGAGTAGTCAATCAAACATGCGCGGTATCCTTAAGTCTGACGTTGTATCATAGCGTCACCTGTGCTATTCATCGCCCATTGTTCCAGCCCGGTCAATAAGGAGGGTCCTTACACTCTCAATCTGGTGAAACGTGTTTTGCAATAAGCGCCAAGGTGTGTAGTTGACAAAATCATAACAAGATAATTGTTACATATACCATGGAGGTAGAAAATATACATATACGTAGTTGCGAGGGAAACAAAGGCTTGATCATCAGTGTAAAAAATACAGAGTGTGTTGTCTATCTATGGGTTGTTGGAGTTAAACGTGTTACATCTTTTGTTACTTTTATTATCCAATATCCATTTTGGGGCTGCCAGTACATTTTATTGCGGGGCAATCAAAAGGAACACTCCTCATGACGAGTTCCTGGCTCCTCTAAATCTACCACCAGTGAATCCACACATCACATGTACTGTGCTAATATTAATTCATAGTTCAAACAAGAACATTCCTACACCGACTGAACAAAAAGTGAGAGTTTGAATCGAGTTTGAACCATTTATGACGTCTGTGGCAATCACGTGTTTCACTAGTCAGTCCGTGTTTGTGACGGGCGTATTATAACTAAGTTAAAGGATGTCCCATGTCCCATGTCCCATGTCCCATGTCCCATGTCCAATGTCCCATGTCCAATGTCCCATGTCCCATGTCCCATGTCCCATGTCCCATGTCCCATGTCCCATGTCGAACAAAAACGGTGACAAATGTTTATAGGCGATCGGCCCAACTATGATGTGGTTCGACTAAAAGGGAAAAAATGGTGTGCGGCGACAGTGCGGCGGCGAGTGTGAGAGGTATGTGGGGGCACTCAGGCGGTAACGTTGAAAGCGTAAAACAGCTGATGAAATAGTGGCAGCTTACGGATACGACTGTTGGTATATACACATGTTGTAAAAAAAACAGTGACATATAACTTCCGGTAATCTTTTCTGTATACGCGACGAGGTCGGGGAGCAGCTATCACCAACGACCCGAGGGAGTTCAATTGTAATAGGGTGACTCCGCTGTCTAGTGTAGTTCACAACGCTGGTATATCCGCTTGGTCGTGTCAATACACAAGACACGCCTTCAAGTTTCTCTCATTATTATTAAGCCACGCCCACCCAGTGTATAAAGTGACAGTCGGAGCTCGTACATTGACATGTTACGAGACACGCGACTGAAGTGCCTCCATCACTCGGTAGCTTAGTGATTTCGAAACTCAGAGTTGGGCAACATCACAGTTAAGGTTTGAGTCCAAGTTACAACAAATCAGAGGTGGTTGTGGATCAACGCCACAGTAGTCTCTACATATAGTAAACTTATCATAGAAGACTCTGGGAAAATATGGAATCAATCGTTATCAAAATATCATATTTATTATTATTAACTGCAATATCGCTACTTGTATCGAAGACCAACTCGTGTCTAACCGGCGACTGTAGCCAACCAGCGGCAATCAGACATAGTCAGAGTCACCTCCACCACGAGAGAATAAAGGCCATCAAAATAGAAATACTGCAGAAGCTTGGAATGAAAAAACCACCGAACGTAAGTTTAGCCAACACTACTGAAGAAGAAAAAAGGAAAATGTATCGCGTTTATAAGCAGAGCGTCCAAGAGAACAATGAAATATCGCGAGATCTGTACCCGAATGGTAATTTCTACGCCAAACGTTTCTACAGTTTAGTCGATACCGGTGAGTTATTTTGTCATTCACATTTTTTCAATCTATAAGTTGTATTTCACATTAAGTTGTGAACAAGTGACAGTGACGGACCTCCATCCAGACATTCAAGCCAGCGTGGTGGCTCGAGTGGTTGGAATTACCTGTCAACGCGGGCGATGCGAAAAGTTGCGAAATGTAATACATATATACATATATTTATTTAGTGGATGTCACTTCAGGTATGCGAATAATTTCGAGCGATAACAATTGACACATGTTGGTACGTTAACTTGCTATCTGTGATTCGTATTTGCACGTGTCTTATAAAACAGCACATTAGCAATGTGAAGGCTAAATATTCAATAAGTTGACACGTGTCTATAATATTACTACAACGTTTGCACACTGACAGCTAGAATACACGTACAAGTTAAGTACTGTTGAATTTAACGGGCGCCGGCAACTCGATGACGTTGAACCATTCACAGCGGTTTATGAATGAAAATACCGAGTGACTCAATCGGCTTATATTGAAACAAAAATCCAAAAATAAATTTAAAATCGGGCGTTATAATAATTCCTTCTGATCCTTGATACGTTATTAATCGAGATCGATCGATATAATTCGCACATGTGGCGCAGTATGCTGAATGTGCGCAATGAAACCATGTACTTTAAGCTGGAAATGAAGTGTGTTTGAATTCCGCTTGACCGGTTCGGTTATTGACGGGAACACACCCACGCGGCTCTGTGGCCGTGGTTGCCTATGACACTGAAGCACAATAGAATACAACACCTCACCACAGCAAGATAATAACATGTACATAGTAACTGCTAAAAGTATATTTTTGCTCCTATTAAAATGGAATTTTTTGCAAAACCAACCCCCATATATACACACAATTTCAAAATTGTAATATAAATTTTAATAATGTTGCATTTTTTTTTCAAAATCTAACTTGATTTGAAAGCTATTAATATAATACGATAATATATCAAAATATTCTACTCTGCCTGACAGCAAATTAACGCTACTGCTGCTGTACTATTAACGCTAGTAGGTCAGGGGTACGATCCATTTTTTTGCAGTAAAACGCTCTCTCGACCTTTGAGCGATAGACTGGTTTTCGGTGTGTCACTGGCACTTGTCTGGCAAATAAAAGGCTTGTTCAAGGTCGACTCATACTATGGGTGAGTTATTTTTGGAAAAAAAGAAACCGCCTCATCCTCCGATACACCAGAGACTCTGTAGTGTGACCATGAGACACTAACACAATACTCGTGCCGTGAACTTTGACCGGCTTCGTGATCTCCGCGTCACCGGGACTCAAGCTGGATAATTCGTACGATATTGCTGATTACAGCATAATCTTAAACAGGCCGATTGAAAAAAATAACATCTTTTTACACGTCTTCTTGCCTCCATTGTATTAGTAATGGAGTCATGACTCGAGTACGTGCCGATCGCGTCGTTCCCGTTAGGTTACCAGGAGTCGTAAAACACGCCGAAGAATGGAGTTCATCTGTTGTTTATTACCACAGCGTTTTATCTACTGTAATACAATGTAATACATTCTAATATAATCTAATCTAATTTAATGTAATACAATCTAATCTAATCTAATCTAATCTAATGTAATATAATATAATATAATATAATATAATATAATATAATAAATTATAATTCTGTTTGTTTTACAGGTGAACACCCAATGACCGACGGTGATTCCAACAGTCCAAATTCTCAACGATTTTATTTTAAATTAGACATACCGCCTCCCACCATTCCGACCAATAGGTTAACAGTCCATACAGCCAAATTCAAGATTTACAAAGAGGAGGTTCATCTTGAAAATATCTACCCCCCAAACAACATCGACGGAAAGATACGTCTGGACGTGCATTTGATTCGAGAGCCGCGTAGTAACGGGGGTCCATTAGTGCGTCGGCTCATAGATACCAAACTCGTGTCCCTTCTCGAACCAGGGTGGGAGACGTTTCAAGTAAAGGAAGCCGTGGATAGTTGGCTCGTTTCTCCTGACGGCAACTATGGTATTGAGGTTTCTTTCAGCGGCAGTGATGACAAAAACATTAGGAACTTTGTCACATTCGCGGCGGGTTATGGAGAAGAAGACGAGTTTCTGAACGACATAGACACGAGCGAAGACTTTAGACCCGTTTTGAACATTCATGTACAGGAGGTTCCAACGTTATCAAGAAACAGACGAGATGCAGCGGACCATAGTGAATTATGCGACGTTGACGATGGCCGACAAAGATGCTGTCGTTTTCGTTTGGACGTGAACTTCAGGGATATAAAATGGGGCGACTGGATACTGTCTCCAAAAGTCTATAATGCCTATTATTGCAACGGGGGCTGCCCGCATTACCATAAACCCGCTAGCACGTATGCGATCATCAAGTCCTTGATGCACAGCGAAGGCGTGTCGCCACCGCCTTGCTGTACAGCGAAGGTCCTGAGTCCCTTGACATTACTGCATTACGATGAATCTATTATTCCCAAACTCACAGTAACTGCATTCGATGACATGGTTGTTGAACAATGCGCGTGTTCGTGAAGACACCAACATCCTGCATTGTTGTAGATATATTTCTTTACATCTTACATGCAAGAATTTACATGATATATAAAAGCCCACGGCTTGGAGCGTACATTTTTGTTTTATGGCCCTTATTTATTTATTTGCGTTTCAAGTTTTGCTTTATTAAATTATTTGATTGTAAAGTTTACATTTTCAAAAAAAGCCATATTTTGTATATTTTGTGTCATGTTAAATGCTGCTGCACTGCCTATATATCAAAACTTAATTTAATTATTTCTGTTTAATTTAAAGCATTTTCTTATTATCTTTAAAACAACTTAACCATATCATAATATATATACTAAACACATTAAAACCGTGACAACATCGTTAAATCTGAATTATTTATTTGGTCGTATGCCGCGTGGCAAGTTACGATGTTGTTAACAGTTTATTTATTTATGTTCATATTTATTGTTTTATATGAATGGTGCTATATGTTTTGTAATATATTTGATACGGTAATTCATTGATTTGTTTCTCTCTTCAGTAACCCTAACTTGCCCGGGCACTTTCTCTCAGTTTTGGTTAACGGACACTTTATGAAGTCATTGGCAATATAAATTATATCTTTTTAATGCAGTTAGCAATATTCGACAAGAACGGCTTGGTTTGCATCTTCAAAACATGCATTAGGCTTTGTAATAAACAGATTATATGAAGAATGGGACTTTTTACGTCAAAATTTGAGCCCCTGACCAATTTAATGTATTCTTAAAAGGAATGTGACTATTTCATATAATGTATTTTTTGTAGGACACATGTGTGCCAATAAAGAACACCAGAACGTACATCACTGTGCTTGTAATATTACATATGTGTGTGGGGGACGGGGGGTGCGTGCGTGTGTGTGCGTGTTCAACGACTCCATGCAGTGGAATTTGCGGGCCTTTTGTTGTTCTGTAGACTCCATCTAACCGGCACATGGCGGTATGCGCCCATTGTCTGCGTACTTGTACGTAGAGAATCGAACCATTTCTGTCTACCGATATACTTAATTGTGATTTATAGTTACCTGAGTGTGGATTTAGAAGTCTCGACTGTTATATGTCCCTGTGGTGATATGGCATGCCACGAGGGCCCACCCGTAATATACTCAAACACGATTTAATTCAAGTGGGGGTTTGCCAAAGTTACAATAATTATACCAATGTTATGTACGTTTTCACACACAGATACAGACTAAAAATGAAGTTATTAAACATTATGTTAAATTACTATGACTATCATACACTCTGCAAGGTCCCATATTTTACAAATGTAAGCTGTAGCCTAACGATAAATTAATTAAACATATTATGCAAATTATTTGGCCACATTATAGATAGAAAAATTCAATTTCATTAGACCCTGGCTAATGTACTTTTAGAACAGTATTAAGGCCATGCTTATATAGCCAATATTGGCATAGGAAAAGACTACTCCCCAAGTGACAATGCTCTTGCATGGCAAAGTTGAGGCTATTCAGGCTTGTTTGAATAGCCCACTGCATATCAGTAAGCTTAACTATGTGTATCATAATGGTAATTCTCCGAGCTAGCAAGACGCTTGTCTGTGATTTAAGACATATTATTTATTACTCACAGGACCCCCAGACAAAGCCACAGTTGTGACGTCCCAAATACACAAAATGACGTCATCGTTCTGACTCGCATAAGTTTAAAGAGTTTGGGTACAGTTCCTCTATATAGAGGGACTGTGGTTTGGGATGTGGCGTCGCATCAAGATGATTGGTGTATGTCCGACTATATAAAAAGGTTGTAATCAAGTTGGCAGCTTTCGGTAATATGAAAGTAAACGGAACTTGTAATTACAGTTCTCGTTCACAAGCAGTATTTTTTTTTTTTTTTGAATAATTCGTTTTAATTGCATTGTGTTATTAACTGTATTCTGGTAAATCTTATTTTGTTATGCTAGATCTGATTATATTCTTGTACATCTTATGGACGTATTACAATTTTCGTTTACAAAATGATGTATTTTTCTAAAATTTGTGTAAAGTTGGCACAACCGTCTCTCAGTTAAAGGTCGTTCGATCAATTCGGCAGTAAATCACCGAACTGAGTGCCTAACAACTATGTGACCAGTCTACAAGAATAACAAGAATAACAAGAATAACGATCCCGGTCAACGCTCCCAGGTCAAAGGTGGAAGTAATGATTTCTTGATCAAAAATAAACCATGTATCCATCTAGTTACTTATATTATACGTGGTAATGTTCACAACTCTTCAGACTCATGGCACTGATTGACCGGCCACTGAACTGTTTTTATAGTTCCTCTGTTGTCCACCAACGTATTTCCACACGCTTTCAAGCGCCAGCAAACCTGGGGGTCAAGGGGTCAAACGTTTAAAATCACATGACCAGTGGATGGTATTTGTCACAGTGTCTTGTTCGTACATCCTTATTTTTCTTGAATGTGGCAACATTTACACCGGCAACTCTTGGCATGCATCTTTTCTTGATGCCCAAAACGCATCTTTTAAACAAATCTTCGAACCACTTAGTCCGTTTGTGACACGCAAAAACACCAGTCCAGTCCATGTATCTGTGTCGTCTGATAATTGTCTATTTCACTGCCAGTCCAATGTGACCGTATGCCGGGCGTTGTTATTCATACGCCCTGCCCCCTATTTCGGATCCGGTTGATAAGTGTATTTACATAATGTGTACACAAGGCGTTAAACATCTGTAGCACCATCTTGCCGGTCACATCAACTAAAAAAAGCTACAAAATATAAATGATACCACCAGTATATTTTTCTCACCATCAAACCCCACATACATCGCATGGGACCCATATTCGACATCTAATCGATATATCATGTGAGTAAGCGTAATAAAACAGTGTAAATCATTTTCAATATTTCAATACTGTGTGATAACAAAAATCCCAGTAATCTGATTGGTCAAAAAGACTGAACTTTGGACATCATTGCAGACAATCTAAAAAAACGCCAATATTTTTAAATACGTTGGTGGGTTATACTATACTTTTAAGTAGTTTTATTAATCTAAATATTTCTGGTAGATCAGATAGTATGATGGGAAATGAGTTTCTCTCACATCGTAATACTTACCTCAAGGTCATCATGGCTTTCATCCAAATTCAGTTGGCATTTCACAAACTTTCCATACAGACCGCAGAGTTAATTTAATCTAAAATCAGTAATCGTGCCTTACCAAAGCATTCCCAAATGCGTGAGAATAATCTCAGACAATAATCAATGTTCGCGATTTATAAGCAGACGCGCACATTTTCGTGTTGGTTTGTTTTAAAAAATGCGAAACGACATAAGGGCCAATATCTACATCCCATAAAGTGATACAATATCAGAGTTACTAAATTGATATTGTATGGCCACTCATGAGATATCCTTTATGAATTGCCAACGAACCAAAAATACGTCTTGTACAAAATATGCAACATAGTATATATAATATGCACCAACCATTGACGCTAACCTAAGTGTATCTATAAATATATATTAATTTCAAAAATAGTGCAGCTGCTATGAAAACAATTGTCGAGGGATTCAATAAAATTATAAAATAATAATAAAAAGTGGACAAGTTTTAATCTGAATATATATCTTCATAAAGTCTCTGTTCCGCTCTGGCGTAGTAGTGTGGCCGAGGGGAATCGACACTTGTCCGAAGGGTATCAACACACGAAAATGAAAAGCGCCCTCAGACGTTGACTGTCTCACGGAAAAATTAGTAACGAGTTGACGATGGCTAACGTCTTCCCGTGAAACGGCGTTTACGCTTCGATTTTCCAGATGTAATATTCCCATGATGCGTCAATAAAACTCCCAGAAGAGAGAGAAACTCGAACTAACTATTTTTATTTTACCTATTTGTTGGGTTTTGATATCCATTTTAACAAGTCATATGAGTAATTTACCTGTGTACAGAGTACAAGAGCTCTGCGCATGCGTAGTTGGTGCACTCAGCACGACCATTGGTTGCGTGGACGCCTTGAATTTGGTTTCTGGTGTGATTTCCTAGCCCGTTTGCAAAACAAAATACGTTTTTGGTTTCAGAATTTTCAGGTGAAAAAATAGCCTACTTTTAAATTACAGATATGCGACACAGTGCCTACACTGAGGAACTCATATATACATACTAGGCACACGAAACAAACAAACGAAAGATCACCATTTTCCATCGCTAGTGGTCTTCTCTCAGTGTATGAGTGGTCGCTACTTACAAACTGCAATATTTCGTATATGTCTTCAATACAATCTAGTGTACCAGTTCTTATTGCACTCCCTTGTTACTGCATCCCCTTCAATTGTACTTAGTTATTACTGCACCCCTGCAGTGAATACCTACTACCTATCGCATCTTTAGGGTAATACCACTAGCTGTTATTGCCCACCATGATTTTATTTTACCCCCTTAAAACTTAAAACGTCATAATATTCGTTCTTCATAAACCCAATGAAACGTTTTATTGCGTTGAAAGGTGGTTTTATTAAAATTACCTTCCTAACATAAAGTTACCATTCCAAATGCAAAAAACGGCTATTTCTGACAATAATTATGATTCCGTCACGGTGTGTTTTGTAATAACCTTATTAATATACACACACACACCCCATTTCCCTCCTCATCATGGGAATGCCGAAGTCCAAAACGTTTAAAACAGATTTAGCGAACTTCTTTGTGTGGCATCCCATCAAACCCCGGTGGCAACTATGTTTGTTTTTATTATTAGAGGACGCTTACGCGCGTAATCGTTCCATATTTGGAATTCGCATTTCAAAATTACGACACGCTGTAACTTATGGCGTTACGGTGATAGATGTATAATAATTAAGTTGAATATCATCCTCATTCTAGATATCTTTAACAGTATTATGAAAATAATATGATTTTTTATTATTTATTTCATAAACAAACTTTACAGCCACGACAAGTATAGTTATATTATTTCTATAGACTCTCTTCTTTATAGACTTTTGGAAATGTGGGTAATAGTAGAATTTTATTTTTCTTAATTCAATTTAAAATGAATGTATTATTGCAGTATTGGTAAAATAATATGACTTTCATTATAATTTTTTTATTCAAAAAATGTCAAGTCTACATATTAATTTCTAAAGTCTATAGTTTTTCTATAGACTTTCTAAAGTATAGGATTGAAAGCCGGCAAAACATTTTTAGTACACCTCCTCAGATTACTTGACAATACTTAACAAATATTTTGTATAATATAAAAATGATATATGCTGACTGGGGTGAAATAGATCCTAGATAGTTTCTACTTCATAGTTTTTTACTCGTTAATAAGTATAGTTGGAGTTTATAGCGAGTAAATTTATGTCATGTTTTACACGTTGACAGGACGCAGAAGGTACTGGGGGTTCAGTGGGACCTAGGCGCAGTATGACCCGAGGCAATAGGAACAGTAACACTAGTTCGTAACATACCGAGAGCGTCATATAATTCAACATGGAATACTTTGCTACGGACTTGTTGCGGTGACAGCCAAACTTGC